TCGAGAGCCTTGAGAAAAAGGTCCCAGATGGAGAGTGCCGAGTATCTGGAAGTGCGTGCACGGGAAGATGTTAGGAACACGGAATGGTCACTCCGTGGCTGCTCAAGCTGAAAGGGGTAGGCCGCAATGCGGTGGGAAGCCATAGCTTTGGCATTGCTTTCTCAGGCGCTCCAAGCAGGGCTTCGACCGAAGGTGGATAGTCCCGGGTTCTTGCCTCCCGCTGCGGTTGAAGGCCGCTTTGAGGCCAATTGCCAGTGCAACTGCCTTTGTGGAGTGAAGCAGGACTTTGGGATTGTGGCAGGACTCGGTTGCTTGGCCGGTGCCGGGAGTGTGGCTGGGGCTTGGTGCTGTTGTGGAACTGTTCGGCAAGTAGAGTCGTCCCCTAGTCATAGAAGAAAAGGGCATGGCATCGTTTCCCGACCTCTTTCCTGGGTTGACCCTAGCAGTTTTCTACGATGATGATGTTCTATGGCATGAGCGATTAGTGCTTTGGCGCCTCACGGATCTGGAGTGGTACGTGCTGACGCCCGACCTTGACATGTATGCTGAGGACTTGTCATGCAGTGGAGGTGATGGACCGTCCAAATTCAAAGTGAAAGGGAAAGATTTTAGATACTGGTCTAGAGTAGGTGGTGGTTCTTACAGGTTTGCAAAGCCCATCAATGATGACCAGCTCCTTCGTACCTACATCAAGCAGGCTTTTCGCGAGGGTTCAAAGGAAGCCAGTTTTGATCCTGATTGGAGACCGGACCACGTCGTGGACACCAAGGGCGTCGTCCAGGACACGGATGTTTTCTTGGGTCCCTTGGTGCTGCACCGACTGACTGACAAAGGGCCCGCGAATCGCAGAGCCATGGGTGCTGGGGTGGTGGCCGGGGGAGATACCTCCGGGGATGATGATCGGGTGACCAGACCTATCGTTGAAGCTGACCCGTCTCAAGTTTGGCTGATCACCGAAAATATTGACCAGTACAAGATTGGGGACTATGCCCGAGTCGATCCCAGTCGTGACTTGATGCTTGGAGGCCACACAGGACTCATTCGGGTCGCCTCGGGCTGGGCAAAGGCAGAACTGATTTTGACCACGGATGCCGCAGAGTTCGTTCGTGCTCGTCGGGGTGATGCCGGCTCCCCGTCTCCTTCACCCCTTCAGGCAACCGAGATTCACGAGAACGAAGAGGGATCCAGTGACGCTCGAACTTTGATGGTTGACTACGACCACCAGGGCACCAGATTCAAAGAGTGGCGAGTGGTGGTTGCCGACAGCAAAGACTACCACTATGAGGACTGGCCCTGCGAGGGCCCATCGACGGTGCTTCATCTTCTGAAGCACATGATGAAGTTTGGTGGTGACCCTAAGCAATGGTTGGAACTGTGGGCACGTCAGAAATCGATTTCAGATCAAGACCGGGTGAAGCATGAGCTCAGGTGCCTCATGGACGTGCTCTATCTTGGGGGCACCTTTGACCAGCTCAACATGCCGGTCCTGGCGAGCTTTGAGACTGTTGCCAGGAGAGTCCAATGCATAGTCGACGCCTATGCCGCCGGTGGATCTGGTGCTCCGGATTGGGGCAACGCAAAGCTGTTCACTGGATACACTGGGCCCGAGGACCTAGTGATGCCCCAGCTCAAGACATGGGCTGCAAGGCGGGGGAAGGAGGAAGTCGAGCTCTATCAAGCCCGCCATAAGATGAGAGAACTTCGTCGACCAGGTGGAGTTCAAGAAGAAGCAGCAGCAGCCGCAGCAGATGGCAACCTTCCTGCCGGAGGAGCCCCAAAACCCAAACGCCGTGGTGGGCGAGGGAAAGGGCTGGAACCTCCGGCGGCGAGCTCATGAACCGGATGGGGTCCAGCGGGGTGAGCCTGACCGCTGGATTGAACTATGATGATGATAGGCTCATGGGTCCGATGGGGCATACCTCTGCATGTGGGCTCTTTCCTTTGCCTCGGCCAGATGCTCTGCCGAAGCTGAAGGGCTATGGTCGCCGCTCCCAACACCGAGCTGCGCGAAGAGTCCGAATTCGTGATGATTTGAGGGAGGCAATTGCCTCCTTGAATTGGATGCATGTGGGTGACTTCGATGCTCCACCTTCGGCCGCTCATCCTCTCCAACGAGAAGTTTTGTGCCGCCTAGAAGCTTTGGTGGAACGGGCGGATGATCTGGGTGACCATGGTCATTTGCCGTCACTGGAGGCAGCCTATGGTGAGCTGCTCCGAGGCAGAGATGGTTATGCCGAGCCATCGACGCCGGCCTCGTTAGCGCCCTACAACCTCGAGCTCGTGTCCCTTCCAACTGACCTTTGTGACGCTCCTCGTGCTGAGGAACTGTTGGAGGAGGCCGACCGTCGATACCTGCAGGGGCAAGAGCGTATGTTACGGGAAATCCCCAAGGAAGACAGTGAAGTCATCAAGCCGTATTGGGATCCTGCCCTCAGACATAACCCAGGTAGATATCGCAAGTTTATTCAGCGTTTGAATGACATCAAGTACCTTGATTTCACTTTGTCCCCTTCACAGCATGCTGGAGTGTTTTTTGTTTGGAAAAGTGATGGGAAACGTATTCGCATGATCGTAGATGCAAGACCAGCCAACGCAGAGTTTGAAGAGCCACCCGGCATCTCTTTGCCAACCGCTGAGACCTTTGCAAAGATTGAGATGGAGACACACATGCATGATGGTGATGACCCGGAACTAGGCATCTATGCAGGTCTCTCAGATGTCCGTGATTGTTTTCATCGCATCAAGCAGCCTAGATGGCTGTCGAAGTACTTTTGCTTCCTTCCAATCGAGGCCAAGCATGTTGGGCTCACCGGAACTGTGCTGGAGGGCCACACTCTCAGCTCGAATGACTTGGTGTTCCCGATGCCGGGATCACTGTGTATGGGGTTCAGTTGGTCATTGTTCTTTGCTCAACGCATCAACGAGGTGGTCATGAGAAGAGTGAGCAGTTTATCATATTCTACTCTAATCCACGATCGAGGTGGGCCAGCGGTTTTTGGTGACCACCTCCCTGATGAATTAAAGCACTTTGTCTATGTGGACAACCTCGGGGTGATGTCAACCGACCGCCAGGCCGTCAGTGGAGCATTGGATGATCTGGTTGGCAAGTTCACCCAGGAGAAATTGCTTCTCCATCCAGGCGAGATACAGCATGAGTGCATCAAAGCGCTTGGTGTGCAACTGGATGGGCAGAACCTCTTCTCCTCACTTAGCCCCGACAGGTATCACCGCGTTCGTCAAGGGCTACGTTGTCTTCTAAGACGAGGTCGATGCAGTGGTCGGGTCCTTGAGATACTCATCGGTCATTGCGCTTATTGTGGTTTGATGAATAGGGCTTTGCTTTCAGTTTTCCACAACGTTTACAAGTTCATCCATTCCCACCATGATCACCCAGCAACTCTTTGGAATAGCGTCAGGGCGGAGCTACGGGCATTCTGCGGCCTTATGCCGCTGATTGCTTCTGACTGGTGCCGGCCTTGGAATGAGTTGGTGCCAGTGTCCGACGCCAGTGAAGAGGGCTTTGGGGTTTGCGCAGCTGTCTGGACATCTTCTCAGGCAGCAGCAGTTGGCAGGGTTTCTGAACGAGACCGATTCAAGCGTGCCGGGAGCCACAGTGCCAGAGAGACGGCGCTGACTTCAGCGGGGTTTGTCAAAGACGAGGTGTCGGGCAAGTGGGCCGAAGGTATCCTCGATGATGAGGAGTACCTCAAGCTCAGTGGCTGGGACCTCAGAACTGACTTTCCAGAAGTCCCCGCTCACAAGCTCAGAGAGGGAAGTTGGCAAACCGTTCGGCAAGGCAGGTGGAAGAAGCACGAGCACATCGTGCACTTGGAAGCCCGGGCCTTGGTGAAATCTTTTGAGTACTTGGTTGAAGACACCCATTCAAAGGACTGCAGACAACTCTTTTTAGTGGATTCAATGAGTGCGGCATTGGCATTCGATAGATGCAGAAGTCGCAACTTCAAGATGCTGAGACAGATCCGAAAGTTTTGCTCCTATGGGTTGGCTCGAAACATTTCGTTTTCAGTGCGGTGGGTAGCTTCGGAGCTCAACCCGGCAGATGAACCTAGTCGGTCTCCTCTGCATGTCGTGAAGCGGTCTGACTTTTTTGGCCTCAGACCTCACGCGCTGCACCATGCCGACCTCAAGAAAACGGGTGCTGCAACCGCCAGAGGGGTTTCAAAGCCAAAAGAGAAGATGTGCAGTGCTGGAGAAAGGAAGTGCCATGCCAGTCATGAAGAAAGCCAGGACCTCCTCGCTCCAGCGGACAGACCCAACAGTTTCTCTGCTGAAGAAGCCGTCCTTCTTGCCACCCAGCCTAGAGTCTTTGGTCAAAGGCATGGACAAGCTCCCGCAACCGCGGAAGCAGATGGAGCCCGATCTCGAGAGTGCCGCCAGTTCCTCGAGTTCAGAACCTGCCAGGGATGTCAGAACCAAGGCACTGGCGAAGCGAAGTCGAGGCAGGCTTCAGAAGTATGTGCAAGAGGCCATGGAGGCAAAGTCCATGGGTCTCAGCTTGTTAGAAAAGAAAGCCATTGGGGACCGGAGCGCCAAGTACTACCAAGAGGAGTACAAGCAGTTGCTCATTTTTGCCAAGACGCGGAAGCTGATGATGACTCTCCCACGCGAACTGGATGCAACCCTTGTGGAGTACTTCAACGACCTTTTCATGAGGGGTCACCCAGCGCATCGGGGGGACAAAATCATCGCCACCGTGATGCACCACCAGTCCGAGTACAGCAAGCTGGGATCCAGTCGGCTGCCGCGAGCCTGGCGATGTCTCAAAGGCTGGAGGCGCTTAGCGCCAGGAACCTCGAGGAAAGCCTATCCCCTAGGCGTGTGGTGTGCCATCGCCTTGGAATTGAAGAGGCTGGGGCATCTTCAGATGGCAGTCTTTACGCTGGTGGGCCTCTCTTCGTACAGCCGTCCTTCAGAACTGCTGAGATGCAGGGCCTTCAGCCTGGTGAAGCCGTCGCCAGGGATTACAGAGTTTTGGAGTCTTTTGCTGAATCCAGAAGAAAGGATGGATCGGTCGAAAGTCGGCGAGTTCGACGACAGCATTGCCCTCGACTCTCCTTGGATGAGGCCTTGGGCAGCAACCCTGCTGAAGCCGCTCGCCAGCCAGGGCGCCGACCTCCCCTTGTGGAACTTCAACTACTCCCACTACTTCAAGGTTTTCTCCCAGGTGACAGAGACTTTGGGGCTAGACATGACACCATATCAGATGAGGCACAGCGGGCCTTCAATAGATCGCTCAAGAAACCTGCGGTCTCTTCTCGAGGTCCAGAAAAGAGGAAGGTGGCGGTCGCACAAAAGTGTGGCCAGATACGAGAAGAGTGCTCGCCTGGCCGCAACCTTCCAGATGCTTCCACCACCTCTCCAACATCATTGCCTCCTCGCAGAAAGACAGCTCGGGGATGTGATGTTGGGCCGGGCCCCCGCCTTGCGTCCACCTACAAAAGCAAAGGGCTGAAGGGTCAGTATGTCGCTGACCTTTTTGCTGGAAAAGGTGGAGTCGCTAAAGCTTGCAGACAACTGGGGTATAGAGCGAAAGAATGGGAACTCAGTCGTGGGCCACAGTTTGACCTTACAAAGCGTTCGGTGCTGCGACAACTTCGGCTTGATGTTCAACAGGGCTTGATTTTAGCAGCCATGTTAGCACCTCCGTGTAGCAGTTTTTCAATTGCCAGAGATAGAACGGCAGTAATTCGAACCAGAGACCATCCTTGGGGGCTACCTGATCACATGCTTAGCCCGACTGACCAAGTAAAAGTTCAGCTTGGCAACCAGTGCTTCAGGTCCGCGCTCAAAATCATCTCTTGGTTAGATCGACAAAAGATTCCATGGATCCTTGAGAACCCCTTCACATCCAAGTGTTGGTTTTTGCCTCCTATTCGCAAGCTGATGCAATCCAACCATGTCCTCACTGTGCGTGTTGACTTTTGTTTCTACGGCACTTTGTGGCGCAAGAGAACATGCCTGCTGTGTGGCAACTTGGACACTCAGGATGTGGATCGCCTTCGACATTTGTGTAAAGGTCGTGGCCTCTGCAGCTTTTCGGGCAAGTCTCACTTTCAGCTCACGGGTTCGAACCACCAAGGCATTCCATGGACCAGAATAGCGCAGCCATACCCGACAGGCCTCTGTCGGGACCTCGCTTTCTGCTTGACAAGCCCTACCCATTACTAACCCACCCTTGTGAACATTCTGTTTTGGGTATGTTTTGGGAGTTGGGCAAAGCTGTGCACACTTTGTCTTTGAAAATGCCTCCGTGACCACTCATGGCCTTCTTCTTTTACATGTTCTCTGACTTCTTGTACTAATGGTTTTCGTCATGATCCTTGAGATGTTCACTTAGCATTTTCTATGGCAGCTGACGGAACGATGATCTTAGCTGCCAGTTTAGTCTTGCACAGCCGCTCATTCCTGTTGACCGCTAGGACTGTGCTTCGAGAGCCTTGAGAAAAAGGTCCCAGATGGAGAGTGCCGAGTATCT